GTGTGTGTGTGAGTGTGTGTGTGTGAGTGTGTGAGTGAGTGAGTGAGTGTGAGTTCAATAAAATGAATGCAGACTTCTGTAGTGTATTACACATGAAACTGACTTTATCAGTGGCAGCAGCGCTGCTGATCTGAGACGGCTTGTGAGAGAGTGTGTGTGTGTGTGTGAGTGTGTCTGTGTGAGTGTGTGTGTGTGTGAGTGAGTGAGTCTGTGTGTGAGTAAGTGTGTGTGTGTGTGTGTGAGAGTGTGTGTGAGTGTGTGTGTGTGAGTGTGTGAGTGCGTGAGTGAGTGTGAGTTCAATAAAATGAATGCAGACTTCTGTAGTGTATTACACATGAAACTGACTTTATCAGTGGCAGCAGCGCTGCTGATCTGAGACGGCTTGAGTTTGCCTTTGGCCACCAGCATGGCGTTGATCTTGGCAGCGACGGCGGCAGCAGCGTCCAGAGCTCCGGTCGGAGCAGAACCTCCATCAGCTCCAGACGACCCCGGACCGGCCTGGTCCCATTTACTGCGCCGGCTGACAAACACAACCACACATTAACTTTCATCATCATCATCTATCTGGTCAACACATTCACCTCAATCTAACAGACAGTGTGTTAGCTCCCTTCATTGAGCTGTAAATCATCATCAGAACCAAACAAACCCATCTCACCGTGAATGAATCAACTTCCATAGCCTCCTCATCAGCGATAGAGAGGAAGATTCAGATTCAGATGATGTGAAACACTTTGACAGATTCATTGAAAGCAGTTTATTTAAAATAACAAACCACCTCACCAGAAATATATCTGACATGAATAATGTAAATACTTTACATGTGTGTGTGTGTGTAGTACTGTGCAAACCTCTCAGAACACTAGTATTCTCAGCAGCTAGAACTGGTGTTAAGTCCGTTATTTCTATCTTCTGCTGTAGTGTGTCAGGAGCAAATATCAGTTAACTGTAATAACGCAGTGAGATGTTAGTGCTGCAGAGCTCTGATCTGATCCTCATCAGTCTGTCTGGAGTCACATGAAGAAACACAACACACTGAGACAGACTCGATCCAGAAGAACTGACGCTTCTAGAAGCCTCCTGAGAAACTCTGCTCAAGTGCGCCGAGAGCTAAAGCTGCTTTAAACACAAAGATGCTCACACCAAATGTTGGTTTAATGTAGTTAATTGATCAAGAAAATCTATGTATGGCATTATTATACGGAACGGTTTCCACGATCACGTCCAGACATCGCGGTATTACCATGGTACTGTCGTAAACACGGGTCCGACGCGGTTTATATGAGGTGTGGTGATCTGATATCTGGTTAAATCGCTGTTTCTGCTGCTGTTGTTGTTGTTGTTGTTATGTAACGTCCGCCATTACCGGCGCGTCAGACGCGTTTCCCGCCGCAGAGCGCGACCGAACGCACACTGAACTTACCCGCCGCTGTGCGGGACACCGAACGACATCTGATGCGTGGAGTTGATGCTTCTGACTGCGACGAACCGAGCCAAACCGAACCGATCCGCTTCTGACGCTCCAACACACAGACCAGCCAACGGAACACAGCAAGCTGCGTCACTTCCGCTACCGTCGCGCATGCGCAGAGTCTCATTGCAAAACCCCTCACAAACGTCGTCAAACGCACTGCGATATTCTGTGTATATTATTTTGTGTGTGTGTTTTCATGTGTATTATTGTAGTCCTAACCGTACTTTGACTGTGTTTATTGAAGTTTAATAAAAACAAAAACGAATGCGTATTTATATTATTAGTTACATTATAAATACAATTAACATCTCTCTGTTGTTTCCTCGATGTTTGAGCACGTGTCTCCAGCAGATGGAGCTAAAACCTTAACCTAATCTTTCTAAAAAAAAAGGCTCGTTTTAAAACTGCTCATTAATCTGTCTGCTTGTGATGCTTTTTGCTCTTTTTTTTTATTAAGCAGCATTACTGTATTGTAGGTTATTATGGAATATTAGGCTCTATTGTTGACCGTTCTGACAAAAATAATTGTGTTTAGCACTCACCTACGCAATGTCTTCGATACTTTGATATTAATCCAAGAGTTCTCGTGGAATCCAATCAAAAGCCGTCGGTCATGAATATTAATGACCGCGGTGACGTCACCGGCAGACGCACATTCACCACAAAAGATAAAAACACCACTCTCGCTCCAGCAGTCAGTTCATACAGAAATCTTTGTTTATTTGCTCTTTATTTGTACAATATGCGAAATGATTTGCCATCGCTGAAGAACACATGTCCCTGATTAAAGGCTTTCACCCCAAACACAATCAAACCTTTGCTTTTGATATAAAACAACTCGGATTCAATGCATAAACAACTCATTTTTAAGAGACAGGTGTAAAGAAACTACGTAATAACAGGGCGTTCATATTTCCAAGCACAAATATTTACAATAAATTCATATTTTGCATATCCACTTAGTGCATGGCTCAACATTTCCTGAGAATAGTTGCAAAAAAAGAAAACAAACTAAGGCAGCTTGACCTTTTTACATAAAAAAAGGAAAAAAATCAGAACTTCTGCAAAGTACTTAATATTCAAGACGCAAAGAGTTTTTGAAGGAATTGAGGATTTACAATCATAAGTGGAGACTAATATTTCACAACACGAAGATCCCGTTTTAGTGCAAATAAACCTCTTTGGGTAGCTTCCCTGCAGTCAGACGAACAGTAACACACACCAGACGAAACGAAACGCATCCCATAATCGATCGCCAGCGTCTCGGATAGATTACAGCTCGCCCAAAGCTCCCGCAGCGAATGAAGCCGGCTAAAGCTATAGTTACAAACCTCACTAATGACTCATTTTTCATATAATGCAAATATTTTTTTTCTTTTCAAAAATATCTCATATGCATTTGCTTAAAAAAAAAAGGCAAGACTCCTCCTCGTTTCATTCGGTCTGTTCCGTGCTGGATTGCAATTTAACTCAGAAATTCATGTGCAAAACTTGCAAGCAGAGGACGTCTGAGTCTCAGTTCTCTACAGCACCTGAGCGATCTGACCAGAGGTCATCTACCTGAGGACCAGGCTCCCGGAGTCGCTCCGAGAAGGACGCTTCGCAGGAAAGAGAAGATGCAGAATTACCCAAGCGCCTCAAACCAGGAAAGTCACAATAAATATCAAACCCACCAATAAATAAATAGAATAGTATACAAAAGAACTCTCCATCCTGCCATTTCTTTGCTCTTTTTTGAAAGAAAACTAGACCCCTTCTGAGAAGTTCTCGAGCACGCGTGTGTTCACAAACGTAAACGAAAGCATTAAGATCCCGGAGGCCCACGCGCCGTGTCTCCATCCGAGCGTTTAAACGCAGAAACGTGCGAGAACTGAGACCGGCTCCATTTGAAGACATTTAAATATCTTTAAAAAAACACAAGAGTCCAAACGAACCAATAATCTTTGGTATGAAAGTAAATTCTATCATTTGAAAATAATTCCAAACTCATTTAATTGAGAAAAGGCTCAATTTCAGAGCAGCTACGGTAAATTATACAGAAGATTCACCTTCACGATGCTCGCCTGTAGGTGGCGACATGCTTTCGCGGTCTCATTGTGTGTTTTAAATCAGGTTTGTTCAAGCACTGGCTCCGGTTCAAATTTTGAAAAAAAGCGTGAACATCACCGGCCTCACAGAACATTAACAAAGCGAGACGGCGCTCCAAAAGCAGTCGATTCGGATTCATACGAGAACCACAGAAACCAATCAGATCGAGCGAGCAGAACCCTGCTGATTCTCCAGGAGCTCCACCAGAAACAGACTACAGGACTCACCCGGGTTAAAGAAAGCGCACTTCCATCATGTACTTAATGTGCTCTGGTATCACGTACTAACTTTGTGCTTAACACACTAAAAGTGATTCTTTAGTACTTCTTAAAGAGATAGTTCACCCAAATATTCTGTCATTAATTACTCGCCCTCATGTCGTCCCAAACCCGTAGGAGCTTGGTTCATCTTCAGAACACAAATGAAGATATTTCTGGTGAAATCCGAGCGCTCTCTGAGCCTCCATAGACAGCAAGCATCCGAACACCATCACGACTCAGAAACGTAGCATCGGTAAAATAATCCATGTGTCATCAGCGGCTCAACTGTAATATTATAAAGCTACGAGAATACTTTGTGTGCGCAAAGAAAACTAAAATAACGACTTTATTCAACAATTCGTCTCCTCCGCGTCACTCTATATTTTGGAGAGTATCACATACGTACATTGGATACATTGTTTACGTCGTTGACGCTTTGATCTGAACGTAAACAATGTATCCGCGTACATGTGTAGGTTGTTTACGTATGTGATACTCTACAAAATATAGAGTGACGCGGAGGAGACGAATTGTTGAATAAAGTCGTTATTTTAGTTTTCTTAACAACCTACACATGTACGCGGATACATTGTTTACGTTCAGATCAAAGCGTCAACGACGTAAACAATGTATCCAATGTACGTATGTGATACTCTCCAAAATATAGAGTGACGCGGAGGAGACGAATTGTTGAATAAAGTCGTTATTTTAGTTTTCTTTGCGCACACAAAGTATTCTCGTAGCTTTATAATATTACAGTTGAGCCGCTGATGACACACGGATTATTTTACCGATGCTACGTTTCTGAGTCGTGATGGTGTTCGGATGCTTGCTGTCTATGGAGGCTCAGAGAGCGCTCGGATTTCACCAGAAATATCTTCATTTGTGTTCTGAAGATGAACCAAGCTCCTACGGGTTTGGAACGACATGAGGGCGAGTAATTAATGACAGAATATTCATTTTTGGGTGAACTATCCCTTTAAGAAGTACTAAAGAATCACTGTTAGTGTATTAAGTACAAAATTAGTGCGCGGAAATAGAGCACTTTGAGTACATTATTATGGAAGTGCACTTTTTTTCACCTGGGGACTCAACACTCACACACACACACACACACACACACACAGGTAGGCATGGTCACTCTTCCTCCTCCCCAGCAGCATCCTGCTCCTCCTCCTCCTCCTCCTCCTCCCAGGTTCGATGCGTGACCGATGCGCTTCCATGCGGAGACGCGCCTCCTTCGGCTTTCTCCAGGGTTTTTCCCGCCGGCGCGGCGACCGCCCGCCACAGCAGCTCCGGATAGGGCATGCGGGCCCCCGGCAGCAGGGGGACGGGGATGCCGTGGCCCTCCAGGATCTGGACGAAGGACCCGCTGTGTTGGGGGCCGGTGGGGCGGCGCGGGCGGCGCGTGCGGAGCTCCAGGCAGCTGTGGCCCTTCCTGTGGCGCTGCAGATGGTCCTCGCGGGCGAAAGCCTTGTGGCACAGCGGACACTCGAAGGGCCGGTCCCCGCTGTGCAGCGAGAGATGGTTCTTCAGGTCGTAGGAGTGCAGGAACCGCGCGGGGCAGCTGGGACACGGATACGGCCGCTCGCCCGTGTGCTTCCGCATGTAATATTGTGATTAGTGGAGGAAAAGATGCAGCATTGCTGGGTGATTTTGTTTTGGAACCTCAGAAAACTTTAACTTGATTTTTCTTCAAACGGCTGTAGCTCAGTAATTTTTCCTCACAAATGTAGACTCATTTTGGTCACAAATGTAAAACCTTGGCTAGACCGGACCGTACCGTGTGAAGCGGACGCCGCAGGCCGAGCACTGGAATGGTTTCTCTCCCGTGTGTGTCCTCATGTGCCGCGGCAGGAACTTTGTGATAATTCTAAATGCATTTTAATAGACTGAATCATGCAGTGAAAGACCGCACTCTAAATACACACGCGCACTAGTAGTCGTGTATGCGTGCACTCCTTAGGTGTGTTTTGTTTGGTTTTTGTGATTTACTCAAATCGCACATCGTTAAAACAACAATTACGATATTAATCACAGACAATATATATAGCACACCCCTAGTTTTAATGAAAATTAAAATATGTGTCCCTGCAGCACAAAAGCAGTGTTAAGTCGCTGGGGGATATTTGTAGCAATAGCCAACAATACATTGTATGGGTCACAATTATACATTTCTCTTTTATGCCAAAAATCATTAGGATATTAAGTAAAGATCATGTTCCATGAAGATATTTTGTAAATCTCCTACCGTAAATATATCAAAACTTAATGTTTGATTAGTAATATGCATTGCTAAGAACTTCATTTGGACAACTTTAAAGATAATTTTCTCAATATTTAGATTTTTTTGCACCCTCAGATTCCAGATTTTCAAATAGTTGCATCTCGGCCAAATGTATTATTAATTCAGCTTTCAGATGGTGCATCAATCTCAATTTTAAAAAATTGACCCTTATGACTGGTTTTGTGGTCCCATATGAAAGGTAATATTAACCATGGGGAATTTTATTATGATTTATCGTCAAACCAGTAAAGGTTCCATGCCTACCCGTCTCGCCCAGGATGTCTCGGCATGCGTCGGCCACGCACTGGATCCCCAGCAGCTGTGCGCCCTTCAGGACCTCGCGCATGCCCGAGCTGCGGATGGTCAGTGTGGCGGTGTAGGCGAACTCCAGCAGCGCGGCCAGAGCGTCAGGAGACACACAGTCCAGCTGACAGACACTGCAGCTGTCGCCCACGCCCTCGTCTCCATCCTCGCCCTCCTCCGCCCCGAACAGACGCCGGAAGTACAGGCTGACCGCGGCCATGACGGAGCGGTGCGTGGGGTAGCGTGCGCCATGTGACGTCAGCGTGAGGTCGCAGAGCAGCCCGGTTCGCCGCTGGGCATTGAGACGAGACAGCAGCTCGTTGCTGTGCTCCGGGAAAGGGATCCCGATTAGACCGTCCTCTCCTGGAGACATCGCCACCTGCAGGCAGAGAGAAAGAGCTGTCAACTCACCTTTATTAATATAGCGCTTTTAATAATACAGATTGTGTCAAAGCAGCTTTACAGTATCAAAGGGGTGGTTGATTGCTTTTTTTCTAGGCTTGATTGTGTTTATGAGGTGCAGTGTAACATGACTTAAAGGGATAGTTCACCCAAAAATGAATATTCTGTCATTAATGACTCGCCCTCATGTCGTTCCAAACCCGTAGGAGCTTGGTTCATCTTCAGAACACAAATGAAGATATTTCTGGTGAAATCCGAGCGCTCTCTGAGCCTCCATAGACAGCAAGCATCCGAACACCATCACGACTCAGAAACGTAGCATCGGTAAAATAATCCGTGTCTCATCAGCGGCTCAACTGTAATATTATAAAGCTACGAGAATACTTTGTGCGCAAAGAAAACTAAAATAATGACTTTATTCAACAATTCTTCTCCTCCTCATCCAGTCTGGGAACATTACAGTTACGGATTATATTATCAGAGAATATTCGTTTTCGATTAGAATTGGTTCATTTAAAAATGTAAACACTTCAAGCTTTCTATAGACATGTTTTTCGTGTCTGTGTGTCAAGTATTCGCTAAGTTTCGGTTCATTTTTGTGACGCGTAGAAAGTTGCTCACGGAGACCGAGACGGCAGAAAGTGCACCCTGTTATTTGTTTATTTTACAAAAGCACAATGTTTTGTTGTTATTGTCAGTGTACACAAATAAAAGTAGACCCATTTAAGATTCTATTGATTTTAGTCTTATCTGTATCTGAGTATTTTAGGTTATTTTCTCTGTTATCAGGAAAATGTGAACGCACCGGTGCACAGAGCGTTAAAGACGCTGCATACAATTGTACCTTTAGACGATAGCTTTAGATTTAAAAATTAATATAAATTTTAGAACTATTAAAATTATTTACAGAATGAAATGCAAGTACTTTATAAGTAACTGTAATTAAATTACCTAAAAATTAACAGTAATCCCTTACTTTACTTTTTCAGTGGATAAGTAATTTAATTACAGTAACGCGTTACACACAACACTGGTTGTGTTCGGTCTATGGAGGCTTCATCAGAAATATCTTAATTTGTGTTCTGAAGATGAACGAAGCTCCTACAGGTTTGGGACGACATGAGGGTGAGTCATTAATGACAGAATTTTCATTTTTAGGTGAACTATCCCTTTAATGCTTCGTTTAAAAAAAAGCCTAATTTTTCATATATTTTAGCTTTATTCTACGCCGCTGTCTCCATTGTAATTTGAACGGCTGGTTGACTTCCTGTTTCGATGATACCACTCCCTCCTAAATACACAATGGGCTCTGATTGGTTAGCTGGCCCAGTGTATTGTGATTCGTTAACCGTGTATTGCATGTTGTCCGGAAACGTCAAACCATTACCTAAAGCCGTACAACATAGCCTCGCCCTCTTTGTTGCATGTTCCCAGGGGCAGGGTTTATGTTAATTGCAGGGTTTGTGATGTCACCAACCCGGGAAGAAGCTCCAGTCGTAATTGTAGGCATTAAACAGACTTTTCTTTAAAAGACAATATCTCGGTTTCCATTGAACCTTCAGCGCCGTTACTTTACAGCATATTGTTTATGCTCAAACAGCAACATTACACACTAATTAATGTTAAAAAGGTGAAATCGCAACCAGCCACCCCTTTAAATAGGAAAAACAGTGTGTCAATAATGCAAAAGGACAACAGTAAACACTCAATTTTCAGTTAAAGGCGGTTCATCATTGAATTCAGTGAATTCATATCAACTCTAGTGGAATAATAATAAAACGTGTGGCATAGTCTTTTTGACGCGATCGACCCAAGTTCGAATCCGCCTTTTGCAAAAAAAACATTTTTTCTCCCTTTTCAAATTTCGTATCACATCGGAAAGGTATTTATTTTCAATAAAAATGAAGGAAATCATCGAAAAGTTTAAAATAAAGTATGCTGTAGAGTTAGGGTAGGTCTAGGGAGGGCTTTTTGTCCTAATAAGGTGGCATCCATTTAATAATTTGAATTAAAACGATAAATTTACACTCAATACATCATCATTGCATAATGTTTTATAATTTACAATACTGAGGTGCAAATAATTGCCACTATTTTCAATAAGCAAGCAGAAAATCCTGTCTCAATAGAATCTATTGCTATTTGCACTAATATGCAAATAGCCACTGCCAAAAAAATAATAATCCACGGCAGCATTTCTATGACTTTCCGAATGAGGAAACAAATATAGAGAGAGAGAGATTGTTGGTCGGATAAGAGAAAGATGTCAAATTTGCCGTTGAATTAGAAACACCCACACAAACAGTTTTCTGAAAAAATAAAAAATAAAAAATGCCAAGGTAATATAAAACACAGTATAGTGTTATAAAATGTACATCATTTAAAAAAAAAAGAAAATATAAAAAACTTTGCTAGATTTACAAAGTTATTAACTGTGGAAAAACGTCAGTCTGTGAAAATGGTCCATTGAATACAATGTCATATTAATAATAAATAACAATAACAGCAATTATGATAATAACTCAAATTAAGTGTACTTTAATCAAGTGTACTTTACAACATGTCCGCAACCTGAACAGTTCAAACACTCCCCTCGTCTGCCATTGGTTGGACAAACAGGTCACACTTGACTCACTCAAACTGAATGTAATTCAGAAATGACACCTGTAAATATCAAAGCTAAAATAAATGCTGAAGAAGACAAATCCCAAAAAACTCAATATTTACTGATCAACAAGTCTGATGTTGAATGACTAGTCTAAGACTAGTCTACTAGTCCCTAATCTGTGTGTCGCAATTAATAATCACACACACCTACACCTCTTGCCTTTTACTTCATGTGATGGAGGATTTTAATAAGGGCTTAAACGTCCCACAGGCCTCCTCCCAAACGCACAATGCTAATTTAGGATACACCCAATCCAGCAAGCAGGATCAACGGATCAGAGCGACAGAGAGAGAGACAGAGAACGATAGACAGATAGACATGCCATGAATGTGCATTTGACAGTATATTGTTATGATTTTCATAAGCATTACTGACATTACTATATTTTTATATTCCAGTAGAAGTGCTGAAGTGGTTAGAGACGCTGTGTGTGTGTGTGTGTGTGTGTGTGTGTGTGTGTGTGTGTATGTCTGTGTGCGTGCATTGAGTCTTACTCAGTGTTGGGAAATTACTAACTAAAAGTAACGACATTACAAACTTGACTATATTTTTAGTTGCATGACAAAATAGCTTTCAAAACAAAATAGCTTTTCCAGTAATAAACTTAGTTTCCAACAGGTAGCAATGAATCATCTTGTTAAAAATATTTTGTAAATTATTTTGTGCATAGAAATGTATTTGTTTGTATATTTGGCTTCATATTTAGTTAAATGCTGCTGTTCATGTATTCATGTATTTGTTTTGACATGGTTATGTATATCTTTTTTTTTGCATATATATGTATGCATGCATGCGTGTGTGTGTGTGTGTGTGTGTGTGTGTGCGGGAGATGCATGTGTGTATGTGTGCGTGCATGTGTGCTCTGGGTTGTGTGGGTGGGGTAAACACTATGGGACACAAAAGAACAGGGAGAAATTTTACTTATATTTTCCACTTGAGATTAACATCAGAATCTGCTCAGAAAAGACTTTCCATCTGCTGGAACAGAGACAGAGAGACAGAGAGACAGAGAGAGAGAGAGACAGACAGGAGGAGAGAGAGAGAGAGAGAGAGAGACAGACAGGAGGAGAGAGAGAGAGACAGGAGGAGAAAAAGAGC